AAGAGAATTTACTTCCCGAATTGCTTGAATAGGTGGCGATTGGTGAACCTGTTGTCTGATGAAAACGGTGGATGAAGCATAGTTTCGTAGACTAGCTCGTTCAACCTTTCCGGCTCCGGTTGCACGATGTGTCGCCATACGCTTCATCGTGGACAGGGCGCACTCAGTTCGTACGGTGACCATTTGTTAAGCTTCTTCCATTTTCTTGTTCTTTGTAAATGATCTGAAATAGTTAGAATTCTCATACGAAGTGTCATCCCAAGTTTTCAAGCAGTTCTGTGTGCGCTTGCTTTCTCGCAATTACACTTCAATTCAGCATGTTCAATGGCTGAAGGCTGTCCGCAGCGACCTTCCTCATGCTCACCTTCAAGGTAGGAGTCGGAACCGTGAAAACTTTTAAACTAACTTTGCGCTGTGCATTCGTCAACACGTATTCTGCTTCAGACCCCGTCAGTGTTTCGAACCGTTGACACTGCACGATGTCCGAGTTTGAAATCGTAGAAGTAGATTTGTTGGAAATGCTGTTTTGACACCTAAGATTCTAACCATAGATCTTTTCAAAAACAAATATTTAAATTATAATTCGATTATATTCTACGAAAATGCATAAGACAGACTTTGCAATGATACACAATGTTTCAGTGTTCGAGGAAAAAAAAATTGCCACTGAAACACATACAAGGAAAATAAAATCAAGAATGTAAAACCAGCTTAAAAACAAAATAATAATTCCAATAACAGGGCTGAGAGAAAAGCGAAACGAAGTACTCGCATGGCGTGGTGGTGAACGCGTCAGGCCCCGGAAATGGTATTAGCGCTTTCGGTCCCCATCGATGATGCCAGCAGTCTGGAGTTTTGCAAATATCTTATCATGATTATGAATATAATTCACATAGTAAACTGGCATATGAAGAGAGTAGGTAGTAAATGGAAAAGTTATGGCAATAACGTCAATTATTACCTTTTATCTGCTGCACAATATTTTTTCATGGCACTTGTGATGTGAAATACAATCACATTGATGCTCAAATATTTGCAAAGCCTGCGGACCGCAAGTGTCTGCGGTGGGGAACGAACGCGCTATTACCCTTTCCGGTGGCTAACGCGTTCACTACCACACCACGCGGGTCCTTTGTTTCGCCTGCCTCTGGGCTAGTTTTCTATTGGTCAGTCCTATAAGCAATCATCCGCTGTCTGGAGATTCCGCATGGCATTGAACCTAGTTAAGTTGAGGCTGTAGTTGAAATCACAATGTCTATTTTTTATTTGCTGCCTACTACAATTTTTCACGAGGACACGTTGCTAAATACAACCACAATAGTGCTGAGCTATTTGTAGAACTTCTGCAATACTTCTGTAAATTTTAAGCAAAATTTTGCAGTTTTGCAAGTGTTTCCGCACCCTTATAATAATGCCAAACGATGGGCACAAGATCGACGTATAACCTCCTGCCACCTGCTCGGAACAAGCATGTGTTTAAAGCGCTTTCTATTGAATTCCGGAGAAGTGATTAATACGATTCCCTTCCTGGACTAAGATCGATAACTCGTCTTCTATGCCTTTGAACAAATGAAAATTATAGAGAACGAAACCTGGAGAAAGTTTCTAATACTGAAATAAAAACTTTCACCAACATTTTGAGTTTTCCTAAAAAAACACTTTTCTGTATAAGTTTGTATATATATAGATATATATATACATATGTACATGTGCATGTATATATATGCGTGTGGATGTGGGTGCGTGTGTGTTTGTGCCCTTGCTGGTTCTGCTTAACATGCTGTGTTAAAGTGCTTCAGTGGTAGGTAAACCACACAGATGGTGATCGTTCAAGGGCCAGTCCATAATAGTTTACAATTGCATGTTTTTAAAAACCTTGCTAACAACAAGGAAACACGTCTCCCTTGTATTAGAAAATCGAATTCGGTTAATGCGGCTCCACTTTTAGTGATACTAGCTTACTTTTACGTAAACCGACAATTCGGAAGACCCAATTCTGATTTTCTATAGCACCTTCATACAAACGGAGCAATCAGTTGTAGTTCTTCATAATTTAATAACGGAGCTCTAGTACTAAATTAAAAACACAGAAACGAAAGAATTTTCATTTTAAACTTAAACTCGCCACTTATGTCCAGGTTTGCTCTGTTGCCAACGATTCGAGAACGAATAGGTTCACAAACCAATAAAAATAGAAGGATAGAGCTCCCGGCGTTGATCAATCCCTGAGGGATACGTCATGCATTCTACTTCACTAACTATCGTTGGAGGTGATTGAATGCATATCTGGTCTTACACTGACTCGTGGAGGCCTACCGATGTATCGAGTCAGTGCTGCTATCCTCCCAAATAAATTTGGTACCAATTTGACGAACCCAGAGAGATGGAAGGATTGGTGTGCCATAGGCACGGGGATCGATTCAACGTGTGTGTTGCAGGGCCGCCTCCAGCCACTGCGCCACCCCACAAATCAATAAGAATGCTTATTTATTGTTTCGCAAAGGACGGATCTTGGAGCGCTCTTAAAAATATATGCCGGCATAGCTGCAGGAACGTCTTACAGAACCGTTGCTAATCATGCGATTATCGCCACCACAGCAGTTAATAGCAAAAAATAATAGCAGTTAATAAAAACAAATAACAGCAGCTGATAAATACAAATAAACGCAAATAGTAACAAAAATAAGAGCACTTAATAACAACAGATAATAGCAGTTAAAAACAAAAAGGAACAGCAGTTAATTCAACTATCGAATCTTTCAAAATTCAAAACCGATATCGAGCGGGGAGCGTGTGGCGCAGTGGTTGGAGGAGCCACTGCTGTTCGCACATGGAATTGGTTTCCGTGCCGATGGTTAACCAAGCCTTCCATCCCTCCGAGAACGGCAATTTGGTACCAGACTTGTCTGGAAGGATAGCAGCACTAACTCGATACATCGGTAGGCCACCACGAGTCTGTAAAGGCCAGATATGCATTCAATCACCTCCAACGATAGTTAGTGAAGTCGAATGCATGGCGCATCCCTCAAGCATTGAACAACGCCGAGAGCTTTGTCATTCTTTATTCCTTTACTTTGCACTGAAAAGGATTAGGCAATAAATAAAAAGTGACAACGTCCTCATAGTTGTTCTTCAGAGCCACAATGATTCGAATATAATGCTAACAGAAGTTATTTCCTACGGCGTGGGACTTCGAAGTTTAATTGCGGTAAATTCAGTAGATGGAGCGCCACTCCAATGAACAACTTCACCCGACGCAGCCTTTTTATATAAGACAAGATATCGCCTATTTCCTGAGTACCTACTGGTGATCTATGGTTATCCCTCTCTAAGTCATGTTGTTATTACGAAACAGTGGATAAGCAGACGTTGCATATTTCTGATAACAGAATTTCATCAAAAAATGATAACCCAAGCATAAAAAAGTCGCAGACTAGGATATTGTTGAGGAAATGTATAGCTCCCATGTAAAATAGCGAGATAGCAGGGATAGCAGTTAATTGAAACATTTGGCTGATGACGATATAGTCGATTTTATCATGGCATTTTTTAATGGTTGATGACCAAGTCCAACGTTAAGAAAGGAGTTTCTGGGAATGTGAGTCACCATGAATGGTTTCAATCATTTTCATAAATTCAATTCAGATCAATTCCGCTCTCAGGTAATTGATGATGGCAGAGATCGATAGAACTACCTGACAGGCAGGCGAAACGAAGGACCCGCATGGTGTGGTGGTGAACGCGTTATTCCCTGGAAAGGACAATAGCGCGTTCGTTCTCCAGTGCAGACACCTGGGGTCCGGAGCTTTGCAAATATCTCAGCATCATTGAAGTGGTATTCCGCAATATACCCTGCCTTTAAAAAGAGCAAGCACTAAATAAAACGGTTAACATGTTTAAAAATTTGTAGAGACTCTTGTATAACCATTCACTTCTATCCTTAAATCCAGGTCAAAGATGGTGTCATTAGACGTCCTCGTGAGTTCAATTTCTTCCTTTAATCGCTTATAATGACTTTAAAGAACGTATGGTTTTTATTTTCTCTGTATAACCTCTTCACATCCATATAACACTTTTCGATCTCGTCTTTGCCATTTGTTGATCTTTGAGAACATATGACGAAGGTTGTAAAAATCGGTATTTGTCCACGTTTTTTCGTTCGAAAATGGCGAACTTGGGTCATTAATTCCTCAAAAGAAGGTTAATGGCTAGGATCTATTCGATGGGGGCGCTAACGGACTGCTATGGTATCGTATACAAAGGTGAGCGAATTGTTTTGACAAACAGTTTCTCTCTGGCAATGCCATGAATATCGCTTTATGGAACAGCGACTTTTTCAAACGCTACTTGGAAATACGCTACGTAGTTTCGCTCGCGAATAACTAGTTGATGACTCCTCAGTAAAGAAGAACTACGACTGCAACGCAATACATGAAAAGATTTTCGGATAGAGTGTAAGCTATTGCTTTTAATTTGCGCCGTACTTCCTCCACTGGACTCGATTGATTGCGAAAACGAACGCCCACAGTGCGAGGAGGACCAGTTGTGGATCATCGACTTGGATCACCGTTGCTCTGAAAACGGCGAGCTGCCGAAAGGTTGTCCAAATAAAAGCTTCTATACTAACATCGTCTATGCTCAACCATTTAAAAAGCAACATCCTCAATAATCGTTATTTGTCATAATATTGATATGACACCCCACTTTGCCATAAGTGGAATAGTGCTAGAGGTTGGTGGAAGAATCTTTGACACCAGTAGAAGGAAGACGAAGAAAGAGAGCAGTACGGAGAATCGTCAACGTCACTTTTTCTCTTGTAAAGATTTCTCTGTTGTTTCCTAAATCCTCATCTACTGCAGCTTCTCTGGATGTTTACTTCCGAACTTGTTTTCTTATTCGATATTTACTCCATTTCATAGCAAAGAGATCAGTCCAAATTTCGTAGTGGTTATAACAAATATTTTAAAAGATAGAATACTATCAACATTCACCTCTTGTTATCAGAAAAATTCTAAAGTGAATAATAACAGAGACATAGCCTTGGCCTTGACGTAAACTATGAGTTTTCGAATCCAGCCCATGGGAAGTTGTGCTTCCTTCTTTCCACTCTTCATCAACTTACCTGAGTCAGCTGGCAGAAAGAAGTCGGCCATACTCAGAAATGCCATCATAACAGTGGGAATGATTAAGACGACAGTGTAGAACAGTGTTTTACGCCTAAATACGATGCATTTGTTGTACGCTCGTTATTAAAAAGCACCGTTAAGGTATCATCTGCTTATTGTGAAGGCGAAACCTTTTGTGACTATGGCTTCACAGTTCTTACCACTTACCGTATCCTGACTTGAAACTCGATGCGACTCCTTTTATTCACCAGCGACGCCGGCGCGTCGATCACATCCCAAATGGAGGACGGCGCGTACTCGGACAAATCTACCCATTCAGCCTGCTCGAACTCAAGTTTGATCTCATTCTCGTTGTACTGAAACATCATTTATTATTAAAATGTATTAGGCGTTATGGTATAAGACAAAGATAGCAGCACATGAATGTTACAATCTTAAAAAAGTGTTTGACTGCAGTGAAGACCTGGGAACGTTCTAGTGGAGATGTCTATAATAGTAAAGAGAATCGACTGAATCAGCATTCAGTGGCATTTGTAAAGAAGTAAGAAATTTCCATATATAAGTTTAATTTATGCACAACTTCAGAACTTCATGTGAGACAATTAACAGAATGAAAGAAGTGCTGTTATCGACAATAAGTAAAATCCGGTCACATAGAAAAGAAATGAAGTATAGAAGTATAGAACTAGCTGAGAGACAAGCGAAACGAAGAACCCTCATGGTGTGGTGGTGTACGCGTTAGCTCCCGGAGCGCGTAATAGCGCGTTCGTTCCCCACCGGGGACACCTGCGGTCCGGAGTTTTGTGAAAATCCCAGCATCACTGTGGTTGAGTCAGACATAATACACTGCGGTGAAAAGTTGTA